ACATAGTTACTAACAAGCTTGCGTTTTTATTTTTCCTTCGTGGATTTGCTTCTCTCTACTCTGTACTTATAATAGGCTTTCCATCATTTGTCACTTTGGCCTACATGATTGTGCCATGTATCATTTACAGATCGATTGACTCAAGTGGCATTGGTGACACATTAGGAAAATTATTGGCTAGTACACTAACTGGTTTTAAATACACTTCTATATTTTATTTTCAGATGTCTGAATTTTGAGATTATTTTAGGTAACACTCTTATACCATAACATATTAAATTTTTGTCCTTGTCTACCTATAGAAAATAATTGTAAGTTGTTCATTGTCTTTATACTAACACAAAACAGATTTTGTCAGATTTATGGTTTTATCATATGGTTTTTTTATTCTCGGTACCAAAAATTACAGATTGCGCCTATAGAAATTGGAATAAACGAAATCTATAATTTTAGTATAAAATATATGCAATAACCGTCGTTCTAAAGGAAACTAAATTTCAAACACCTAAATTTTAGCGAGTCCCATTTAAATATGAAGTACAACACTAAACAATAGTAATCTCTTAATATCTTCCTATATTCTCATGACACAAATTAAATGCCCAACACGGCACAAATTGAACACGTTCATCTGGCAACAACTTAACTAAACACTTGATTTCGCAACAAGAATCTCACAGAGCGAGATGTCATCAGGTGAACTTCGCGAGTTCCCCAAGGAAGGCGTCCACGTGCTCCACCTTGACACAGCGCGCCAACACGTTGCCCCCGTCCTTGTTGCATGGCAGGCACGCGACGCAGTGTGGCACCGCCATCCGGTCCAGCTAGCACATCAGCTGCCCGCCCGCCGCCGAAGTCCACCGCGTCGGCGCCGACTCAGGGCGGATCTAAAGGTGGCTGCCGGGTCTACAGCCCCCAGTGAGCCTGCCACGATTATTTAACCTTAAATAATCATTAATCTCTAATTTTAGCCTTAAATCTTCATTATTTAGCACTTCTTCATTATTTAGCCCCTTTTGTCCCATGCATCCACCGAGGTTCCGCCAGCTCGTCACGTTGAAGGCGTTGTACCCGAGCGTCACGTCGAGCTGCTCCATGGACAAACCACCACCTTCCGGCGGTTCCTGCAGGCCGCGCACATGGCGGCGGCCTTCGTCTCCGGCGGCGACGTTGTTCTTGCTGAACTGGTACGGTATCGGCTGCTTAGCGCGCTTGATCAGCCTCAGCACGTCGTTGATGTCGCCGTTCGCCACCTCCCCGCTCGTCGCACGACCACCGCCGACGTTATGCAGTTGCCGTAGTAGCCGCGCTTGGCGCCGGCGTGCTTGCGCACGTTCGCCGCGAAGATGAGAGGGGCGGGGGTGTCCGGGTCAGACATGACGGCGCGCGTGCGGCACTGCCAGAGGACGGCCATGACCGCCTCGAAGACGGTGCACGGGCCGCCGCCGCCGTCCGCAGCGTGGCAAGCAGGGGCGCCGCCAGGGGTATTCCCCAGTATGCCATGGAATACCCAAGATTTTTGAAACAAACACAAATACATATATGTATACGTATAATGGTATAACTTGTGTAGTTGCTAGATGTTGCAAATCTGGCCCAAAGCCCAACAGAAAGCACCGATTATCAGCCCACCAAAGTAAAAAAAGAGCGAGCCATTTCCTGGCTGCCGCTCGCATCACACCAATCTCGTCTGGAGGCAGCGAGGAACGGCACAGATAGCCAGAGAGCAGTGGCGGAAGGAAGGGATCCCATCGGGCATCGGCGATGGCGAGCCTCGCGGGCACGGGCGCACGGCGGCACGCCGCAAGCTCCCTCCCCCTCGGCCATCGCCCCTTCCCTTGGCCCTACGGCGCTTCGCGAGCGGCCGAGCGCGACCTGCGCGGGAGTGGGCGCGGCTGCGCCCAGCCCTAGCATCCCAGCTCCGGCGGGCGGCGGCGAGCCCGGCGCTCCAGCAGCCCGCGACGGCCACGGTTCGGCTCTGGCTTGCTGCTTGAGGCCTTGAGCCTTAAAGGTTGTTGAAGCAAGGTGAGTACACTAGCACAGCAGTGTCAGATGAATTGTCAAAACTTATATCGGCTCACTATATACATTTCTCATGTGCGTAGAGATGAAAGGTTTAGAAATTCGAAGAACCTATGCCACTATGTTTAGACCTTATATTTTGCTTATTACTATTGTACATTTAGATAAAAAAAAATTTATGTACGCGGAATAGCCGGCTGTGAAATCCTGGCTCCGCCACTACTGGCGAGCGAATCTGGCTTTGATACGGTTGATGCACCTGGACGGGACGGTGATGTCGAGGTAAGCGAAGCCCCGTGGCTCGAGCGTGACCTGCGCCTTCTCCATGGCGTCCACGAACGGCGGCAGCTCCGGGAGGGAGTCGTCGCCGCAGCTGACCGGGAAGACGGACGGCCGGGGCAGGCCCCGCGCGAGCTCGCCGACGGCCTGCAGGAACTGCGCGAACCCCGTGCCGTCGGCGACGACGTGGTTCCGCGTCACCCCGACGACGAACCCGCCGCAGGATAACTCCGTCACCTGCACGAGCAGCAGCGGGTCCGACGGACGGAACCCCTCGGCACCGAGGCCGACGGCGAGCTCCTTCAGCAGCGCGCCGAATGGCGGGTCAAAGAGCTTGACGTCTGCCAGGGAGCAGTTGGCCGACGCGGCCACGAACCCCACGCCCTCGCCGGTGCAAGCGATACGGAGCTCGCCGCCGCCGCCGTCGTCGATCACGGCGCGGCCGGCGACCGGGTAGTAGTGGACCAGAGCGCTCCGCACGGTCTCGGCGGGCCTGTGGATCGCATGGTCGAAGATGTGGAACGACGTGACGGGGAAGAAGGCGAGGGCCTTGTCAAACGACGAGAGGTTGATGATGTGCGCGGTCGTCTCTGCCGCCGCCGGCGCTGTCAACGGGCCGACCAGCGCCAGCGATGACTTGGTGACGGTGATGCTCATAGTTGGCAGGGTTCACTCGCTGGTGTGCCCAACCGTCGCCCGCCCAACATAAACGCACTGCGTTTTGACTTTCTAGGAGCAGAAACCTTTTCTTTTTCAGAGGATTCTAGCTAGGAGCTGAGACTTTTGGGAGATGAAATGTGCAGCTGGGAAACCTACACCTACACGACGACATGTGACCTTGTTTTATTTTTTCCCCACATTTTTCTAATGCGACATTGACTTAGAGGCAGGCAACTTGAGGTCCCATGCAATCTAGTATATTAGCAGTTCTGTCGGCAGCCAGCAGAGACAGGAGGATTGTCACGTTTTGTTCCCGGTCACATTCTGACACCATTTTTCACGAAAAATCGTCATACTTGATTTCAGGTGTTTAGATTTTTTACCACACCTAAGAAAAATTGACGGAATCTTGTCATAGTTATTAAAAAAAATCAATGACATGATCTTTTGAATCGGAAATTAACCGAACAAGCCCTTATAGCAGTCATCAAAACAGTTTTCGAAGTGGGTCTAATTTACTTACACCACTTTGGATCCATCCAGCTAACTATTAGCTATGTTACCTAGAAAAACCCGGCCAATAGCTAATTGTTAACTGGATGGTAGGTAAGACTTTAGTTGAATTTATTAGCTAAGATGAATGCCACCTAACTATTAGGGGGTGTTTAGTTCCTATGGACTAAAATATTTTGGGCTAAAATCTGCACTTTAGTTGGACTAAACAGCCAAACACTTAACTAAAGGTGGACTAAAGTCATTTAGTCCTTTAGTCCACAAAACTGGACTAAAATGGACTAAAAGGTGTTGGGACACCCATGCCCCTCATTTATTATTCTTTCTCTCTCCCAGGGTAAAAGAGTGGGTAAAAGAGTCTTTCTTTCACATTATTTAATGAATTTAGTCTATTTTAGTTCAAGAAACCAAACACCACTTTAGTCCACTTTTAGTTCATAGACTAAAGTGGCATAAAACTTTAGTCCATGGACTAGAGAACCAAACAGGCACTTAGTTGTTGGAATCCAAACAAGCGATTAACCATATAGACATGGTAAATTATGGCTACCAACTAAACACTACCTAAAAGATAAAGTAAACGTGTAGTTGTGTAGGGGATAGCTTATTTTAGCACTAGTTGAACAAATGCACTTGCTTTGACTTCACTAGTTGAACAAACGTGTACTAGTTGTGTAGGGGATTGCGCGCGCTCTCTCTCTCATGCTCTCATAAAGGGACACTTTGACCCCTTAAATTTGACAATCAATGACCTTAAAAATAGTTTAGTAAAGAAAATTAATAGCTTTCATTAGTAGTTCAACAATCTCATGCATTTTTTGATATGTAACAATATTCTAATATATATGATAATCTCCAATAAAAAATATGTAAAACCATAGTCAAAGTAGCACTTCAATCAAAGACAATAAAAGTCAACAATATCTAGTAATTTTGACCCAATATTCAACATGTCGACAAAGCTGCTTTCAATATCAACCTGGGTCACTTATTAGGTGGCATGACAAATACAGATACTTGCATATCCTATATGGGATCGTCAAATGAATTTTGTTAGCATGATAAGTTTGTAAGGTTCTTATGACTTATGAGATACTCCGAGTTCAGTTGTCTGTGCTGATGCAGACGCTATATGGGCCACACCAGTCACCACCAGATAACATAAAAAGAAACCGTTATGCCGAACTCTGAGTATACTGAAGAGTCGGACTATATACTGGTATATATATATATGTATATCCCCATCGATGCCACATGACGTCTCGCATGAATATTTTTAGTTCCACCGCAACTAACTGACAAGTACAGATGATTTCGCTAAGCATTAGCAAAAAAAGAAAGAAAGAAAAAGAAAAAGAAAACTCAGTGTTAGTGTTGTCGCAACAAAACTTTGTACCCAACAAAATCTGATGGGTAATAATTGGTATTCAGTAAGGCCACCATCCTACAACTCTTTCGAAACACTATCAGTATTGCACCAAATCTCTTGACAAACTGTGAGCAACTCGCTTTAACAAAAGGTGAGATCACTTGGGTCCAGCCTTTCCATAGGAGTCCTTAAGGGTAACAGTTCTGTCGAACACCAGTTCCTCAAGCGTCGAGTCTGAATCCACAGCAAAGTATCCTGTAACATCACCACATGAGGGTGATGAGCAACAAGGACACAGGGTTTAATTTTATCTTCTTTATTCAAGGTCTAGTTAAACTGGAAACAAAATCCTAGTGACGTTACCAAGGCGTTCAAACTGGAATTTGTCCCCCAGCATGGCACTTGCAAGTGAAGGTACAGCATATGCTCCCTTTATCACCTCCTTCGACTGTGGGTTGAGATCACCCAGCCAGTTGTCAAGTTCTGCAGGATTCTGGTCAACAGAATATGAAAGACATCCAGAGACATCAGCCCGAGCAGAATTTCTATTTGAACAGGCAATTGCAACGAGGAATGGTAAAAATTTACTATACCTCTGAAAGAAACAATCTGACTTCAACTTTGAGTGGTTCAACCCCAGGAGAAGGCTCGGCAATCCAATGAAGGACACCCTACACAGATTGTCAGACAACTAAGAATGGAGAAGCTGCAGATAGAAATACTTCCCGTATATAGAAGGATTTTAGTGGCCAATGTACCTTCGGTTTTGTAGCCTTTGATGCGTCATACATGGCTCGGATTTCAACAATACTATCTGCATTGTCTCCATAGATAACTTCCGTACATTTTATTGGGAATGCATGTCTATCCATTCAAATGGCAACACATGTCAGGCGATTGGGCACGAAAGTGAGCCACTAAGATGCTTTTGAATGTATTACCTCAGCATTACTGATTTACCAGGAGCAAGCCCATAGAAATCTTTCGAATCCTTCAGGCGGAAATCAGATTGCTCAATGTAGACGATTCTTGAGAATGGAACCTAGGAATGTAGGGACAGACAACACAGACAAAAAGGCAATTCAGCAGAATGATGATATTTCATTACCATAATAAAAACGGCCTACCTTTTTTTTCTAAGAAAGATGTCATATAATGTGTGAGAATTGAAAAGAACCTTATAGTGGGCTGACGCATCACTGTCAGGAGCATTAGGCCACATTTTGGCATCAAGGTTAATAACCATTCCATAATCCAAATTAGTGATAACAACCTATATTCACCAAAACAGGAAACCTCATCAGTGCATCAGTTTAAGTGATTAACAAAATAAGAAAAAAAGGTAATGATTTAGGGAATTGTTTAACGCATAACCTTTAGAGGATGCAAAACAACCAAAGCTCGAGGGGAAACTTTGTTAAGTTCTTCTCTAATATGGTATTCAAGGCGTTCGACGCGTATCAAGCTATTGTCACTGCAACAGAAACTTCGGTGGTATCAGTGATGAAAAAACTAGAGCAGATTTTCCTGATATGTATGGATATGTAAAGAACGACTTTCAGGGACATGGATTTTGTGCTCTAGGTGTTATCTAAACCAATCATAGTGCATTGGGATCTGTGATCCACCTTGTTTCCCAATTTACGATGGTTACATAGATGGACAATTTCTTTTCCCAATTTGTGAAAATGTTTCTCTGCAAAATACTTTCTTACCTTCTTGTTATTCCCATTCCACGAATGAAAGAGTTAATTGCTGCTGCTGATACTCCTCTCCTTCGTAGGCCTGCTAGCGTCAACAGTCGAGGATCATCCCACCCATCTACCCACTTGTCTGTGACAAGTTGATTCAGCTGCAAGAGAGGGGATGCAAAATCTAACTACGTAATTTTGTGAACTACATAAATTGGCATTTCATTCACGAGTTTCACTGGTATACCTTTCTTTTGGACATAACATTGTTTGATATGTTTAGCCTTGAATATTCCCATACATATGGCTGATACTGGCCCAAGGCTACAAGCAGCCAGTAGTATGATGGACGACGTATGTCAAATTCTAGTGTGCATAACTGACAATATTCAATAGCTAGCACGCACGTTCTGTTAGCTAGCATGCAGGCATGTTCCTGCTGGATTGGATCACAGATCCCTGTTACGTTTGTAACCATTCGATTGCTCTATAAATGGAAGACGATCCCAAAGAGGATCAGTGCGTTTGGCAAGTCATTTCAAGCATCATACCAGCACGTTTTAGCAATGTAAAGTGCACGAAAAAAATAATTAAGAGGACTTAAAGTCTATAAGCATTTCAGATAGAAAACTAAATATATAGAGATCAATTAGAATTCCTTCATACCTAAGGTAACAGTGCCCATTACGCTCTTTAGCCAACCCAAAATCAATGAACATAGCCTGTACATGAGAAAGCATGAAAGCATCATTTCCAATTTCAAGAATTCATGTTAGAATAATTATATCTTCAATGAAGAGGATTATCAGAACCTTGGCACGACCAATATGAAGGTATCCATTAGGCTCTGGGGGAAAGCGTGTCATCACTTTTCCTCCAGTTGCTTTAAGATGTTTCTCTAAAATGCTCTTTGTGTTGTGTGCTCTCCATATATTTCCATCACTGAAAAATATTTCTGTATGGACCTAACTCACCAAAACAACAAATGTCAAAATTATCTAATTAAGGTATTCCGTAGAATGATGAATATGGTAGGAATTTCATATGGTCAAGGTACCTTGAAGTTTTCCTCTGGCTGAGGAAATATAGAGTAGGGATTTACTTCCTCCTCAGGAGTAGCAACTGCTACTGCAGTCTTTTCTTCCTGTATATCGTTGAAAACCTTAATGACTGATATGATACTTAAATAGTCCTATATTAAACTTCAAGGAATTTCAGCTAACAAACCTCAACTTTAACAGGCTTCTCCTTCTTTTTCATTGGTTTAGCATTATCTGCTTCTGTTTTTGGACCTAAAATTTCCACAAGCCTTTTCTCAATTTCCTCCTGTACAAATTGTAGTAACTGTTAGCTAATCTACTGCCACCTTGTGTGAACACAGCAAGGGAAGGCGGCGCCGACTTTGCCCCCTGCTGTGATACAGTAGCCGCTGCAGGTGCAGGCGCCGCACGGCTCACCTGCAGCACTGTAGGAAACAGGCAGTGGCCGACGCAGAGTCAGCCCTGTCAGGTTATCTAGTTACTGTGCCAGCATGGGCGCTGCACATGGACTAGATAGTTAGAGTTGTATAAATAGACATGTATGGCAACTCAGTAAAGAGATCTCAGATTTGCCATCACACAGACAGGGCCTCGGCCAACGCTGTTGTCTTGTATTGTGCGTGCTTGCTCTGTTCTCCCTTCTTCTCCCAACTCCGTCCGTAGTGTGTGGGTACGGACAACGCCGGTACGTGGTCTGCACGGCTAGTGGGTGCTCGGCAACACTAGCGCGTGCTCGGCGAGACCGTCAAGTGCTCCTCTCGCCTAAGCCGGTGCACGGCAAGATCGGCTAGAGTGGTTCACTGACGTGAGTCGGTGATCCTGTGAGACCAAGGGTGCTGGAGACTATCTGTAGTGGTCTGGAGGCTATCTGTAGTGGTCTGAAGGCCATCTCGGTGGTCGAGAGGCTAACTGTGGGCCAACAAGTGGTATCGGAGCCGTATAAGCGCCGTCGTCATTCTAACCGATGGCGATGACAGGCGGTTCAGAGTTGGGCGACGGCAGTGGCACTGTCGTGGCTGCCCAGCCACTACCGGATGTAGTTGTTCGCACGATGCGGGAGGTCAGCGGCACCACTTGGCCAACGCTGACTCGCACTATGGAGAGTGGTCGGTGACCATGAAGGTCAAGCTCAGAGCCCGACGGCTCTGGAATGCTGTTGACAAGGGCACCGACGTGGAAGAAGACGACATGTCAGCGTTGGAAGCTATCCTCGCTTCTTTGTCTGCGGAGTCTGAGGAACCGTTGGGGACGAAAGGCTCACTAAGGGAGGCGTGGGAGGCCATTGCGGCGATCTTGCGCGTCGGTTCCCGACCAGCGCAAAGAAGGCGACGGCCCAGCCAAGCCGAAGCGAGTACGCAAACCTCAAGTTCAAGGATGGTGAAACAGTGGAGGACTTTTCCCTCCGCCTGCAGACGCTCATCAGCAAGCTGAAGAGCCACGGCGTCACCATCGACGAAGAGGAGGCGGTCTCCAAGTTCCTCCACTCCGTGCCGGCAAAGTACATCCAGATCGCTCTCCATAGAGACGATGCTGGACTTGTCCACCCTCACCACTGAGGATGTGGCAGGCCGTCTGCGGGCGGTGGACGAGCGCCTGGGGCAGGCGACAGCAACGAAGGACAGCGGGAAACTCCTGCTGACGGAAGAGGAGTGGGCTGCTCGGCGAAACTCCGGGAAGGCAGCCTCCTCCAGTCGCGGTGGCAAGGGCAAGCACCGCGGCAGGGCTTCTTCGGAGAAGAAGCAAATCGACTCAAACGCCTGTCGGTGTTGCGGGAAGATGGGTCATTGGGCACGGGAGTGCCCAAATCGCAAGAAGGAGAAGAAGGCTCAGGCTCACCTGGCGAAAGCCGATGATGAGGATGAGGCCACTATCCTTATGGCGACGTTCTGTGCACTGCACGACGTCGAGGCCATGGAGAGGGAAGAGGCGACAACGGTGGAAGGATCTAGCAAGACCCTGAAGACCGTCAACCTCGACGAACCACGTGCCCAAGTCCATCTCGGGCGTGTGGGCGTCGACCAGGAGCAGCGGTGGTATGTGGACTCTGGTGCCAGTAACCACATAACGGGCTCCAAGGACTCCTTCTCCGAACTCGACGGTGATGTTACCGGTACGGTGAAGTTTGGTGACGGCTCAAGGGTGGCTATCCAAGGGCGCGGCACCATCATCTTCAGATGCTAGAACGGGGAGCACCGCGCTAACGGATGTATACTACATCCCGCGCACAAGGCTCGATATCATCGGCATTGGCGGTGGATGAGCGCTTGATAGCGAGTTACGATCAAGGACGGCGTTACGAGGATCGAGAGACCCGGGCAGCGACTTCGCCAAGGTGAAGAGGTCCACTGAATCGGTTGTACCGCCGACCGAAGGTAGAGCAGCCGGTTTGCTACGGGCGGCAAGGCACTCTCGAGGAACCGTGGATGTGGCATGCCCGGTTCGGACATCTCAGCTTCGACGCGCTTGGTCGGCTGAGGGACATGGTCCGAGGGCTACCCCACATCAAGCACGGAGGCGAGCTGTGTGACAGCTGCCTGGCCGGGAAGCAGAGGAGGCTAACTTTCCCAAAGGCGGCCAAGTATCGCGCGAAGGATGTGGCATGCGGTGATCGGCGGTACTTCCTCCTACTCGTGGACGATTGCAGTCGCTACATGTGGCTGCAACTCCTGATGAGCAAGGACAAAGCGGCGGTGGCGATCAAGAAGTTCAAGACGCGCGCGTAGGCCGAGAGCGGCAAGAAGCTCCGCGTACTGAGGACTGATCGGGGTGGTGAATTCACTTCGGTGGAGTTTGCTACGTACTGCGCGGATCAGGGTGTGGGACAACATCACACCGCGCCGTACTCGCCACAACAGAATGGCGTGGTGGAGCGACGGAACCAAACAGTGGTCGGCATGGCCCGATCCATGATGAAAGCCAAAGGGATGCCGGCAAAGTTCTGGGGAGAGGCGGTGACCACGGCGGTGTTCATCCTCAACCGCGCTCCAACCAAGGCCCTAACGGGCAAGACGCCGTTCGAAGCTTGGTACGGGAGCAAGCCGAACGTGTCATTCCTCCGGACATTCGGTTGCATCGGCCACGTCAAGAAGACGAAGCCGAACCTCACCAAGCTGGAGGACAGGAGCACACCCATGGTGTTCCTAGGCTACGCGGAGGGTACCAAGGCGTACCGGCTCTATGACCCACGCGGAGACAAGGTGACTGTCTCGCGCGACGTTGTGTTCAACGAGGAGGCGGCTTGGGACTGGAACAGTCCGAGCACGGGGGAAGCAGGAGGCTTCCCCAACACCTTCGTCGTCGAGCACTTGGTCATCCACGGCGGTGGAGACGCTGCGGAACAGGTGCCACGCACTCCGGCGGTAGAGTCTAGCACTTCTGGGGCAGTGCCGAGCACTTCCGGAGGGATGCCGAGCACTCTGGGAGGAGTGTCGAGCACTTTTGAAGGGATGCCGAGCACGCCAGGAGTGGAGCCAGGAGGTTCTGCAGTGGTGGCGACCACTTCAGGACGGGTGCCGAGCACTCCCGTGGCGGAGCCAAGACGTCTTACTGTGGTTCCGACCACTCCAAGACTGAGGCTAGGCACTCCTACAAAGGTGGCGAATCTGCAGCTTGTTATGACGAAAGCGATCCGAAGCGATCTTGAAACACGTCGGGTGCTATCACGAGGCACTCCAGCGGAAGAAGGAACTCCATCACTCCCGATCGAGTTCGCCTCACCTCCAAGTGACATCACCGAGTTCGTGGGCGCCTACCACGAAGGTGAGGAGTTGAGGTTCCACAGTGGGACGACATCGCGGCCACACAGTCCTCGTTCGGCGGGTAGGTCGCTCAACGACGCAGAATCGCTACTCGTCGCGGCGGAGGAACCACCCACGTTCGCGCTAGCCGAGCGCGATGGAAATTGGCGACGGGCGATGCTGGAGAAGATGAAGGCGATCGAGGAAAACGAGACTTGGCAGCTCGTCGATCCACCTCCAGGATGCCGTCCGATCAGCCTGAAGTGGGTGTACAAAGTCAAAAGGGACGAGCTCGGCGCCATTGTCAAGCACAAGGCGCGCCTCGTCGCCCGAGGCTTTGTCCAGCGCGAGGGCATCGACTTCGAGGAGGTCTTTGCGCCAGTAGCGCGCATGGAGTCGGTCCGTTTGCTACTTGCTTTAGCAGCAGCAAAGGACTGGCGCGTCCATCACTTGGACGTTAAATCGGCCTTCCTCAACGGCGAGCTGGCGGAAACGGTCTTCGTCAGGCAACCTCCAGGGTTCGCTGTCAAGGGAGAGGAGCACAGGGTGCTCCGACTGCGCAAAGCGCTCTACGGGCTGCGGCAAGCCCCTCGAGCATGGAACGCCAAGCTTGACACCACGCTGGGCGAGCTTGGGTTTCAGAGGTGCGCCACCGAGCACGCGCTCTACACGCGACGACGGGGGAAGGAAGAGCTCATGGTCGGCGTGTATGTGGATGACTTAATCGTCACCGGCGCGCGCACGGAGGATATCAACAGCTTCAAGCGAGAGATGGCAGCTCGTTTTCGAATGAGCGATCTCGGCGCTCTCTCCTACTACCTCGGCATCGAGGTGAGACAGGGGAAGGAGGAACTCATGCTCGGGCAAAGCGCGTATGCCTCCAAGCTGTTGGAGAGGAGCGGCATGGTGGAGTGCAAGCCATGCGTGACTCCGATGGAGGAGCGGCTGAAGCTGACGAAGGCCAGCACTGCGGCAAAAGTGGATGCAACACTCTACCGGAGCATCGTCGACGGTCTGCGCTATCTAGTCCACACGAGGCCGGACATTGCGTTCGTCGTGGGCTACGTCAGTCGCTTCATGGAGGATCCCAGAGAGGATCACTGGGCTGCGGTAAAGCGGCTACTACGCTACGTCAAGGGGACGGTGAATCATGGAATCATCTTCCCAAAGACCGACGGGAGTAGGCTGCAGCTCACGGTATTCATCGATGCAGACATGGCAGGGGACATCAACGGACGACGGAGCACCTCTGGCGTGCTCGTCTTCCTCGGGTCAGCCCCAATTTCATGGCTGTCGCTGAAACAGAAGATGATGGCGCTATCTACGTGCGAGGCAGAGTACGTAGCGGCGGCCACAGCGGCGTGCCAAGTTGTGTGGCTACGTCGGCTGCTGGGCGAGCTGACCGGCGTGGAAGCTCACCCACCAGCACTGATGGTGGACAACCAGCCCGTCATCGCCCTCGCGAAGAATCCGGTTCTACACGACCGGAGTAAACACATCGACGTAAAATTCCACTTCCTCAGGGACTGTGTTGATGGAGGGCAAA